TATTTAAGACGACATGTGTTGTGATTTATAATAAGATCTTTGGTTTAATGATTTTTGTAATTATTGTGCTTGTAATTTATGTGTATGTATTACGAAAAACAATTCTTGCTGTCAAAATACTGCCGAAAGCTAGCCATTTGTTTTTTTAAGTTAAGTTTTAAAAATGATAAAGAGATTTTAAAATGCTCTACTCTCCCTACAATAACAAGTGTATATATATGAAATTTGATTTACAAGTACTTAAACTATATAATAACAAAAGTTGGTACGGGTTTTCTATGTGATTGATATTTTCAAAATGCTTTTCCTTAAGAATGCTTGTTGAAAATTCTTTGAAAAATATATAAATTCTTGATTCAACTATGTATTTTTTTTATTTAAAAAATGCATACCGACTTTTGTTACACACTTTGATTGCAATAAATGGGAAATAGATCATTTGGCATAATAGAAAAAAAACCTTAGCATTTTGAACAAAGATAAACTAGGTATTTTCTTTCTGAGATAAATCGGTTTAAAGTTTTTATTTGACTCTGAGATATGAATAAAAACGAAGATAAAAAATACTGTAACTCTGGATTTTTTTTAACTTAGAACTTTAAATAATATGAAATCATTGAAAATTATACAAAAAAAAAAACTTAGGCTAAAAAATTTCAGAAAATTTTGTTAAAATAATATAAAATGCAGTACATTAAATTCATTTTCTTAATATTTCTTATCTAACTTCAAAAAACATCTCTTAGTTATACTTGTAATGATATAAATCAAAATATTGTTTTTTTTAATATTGCCTGATCACCTATATATAACTCTTTATGAAATTTTCAATATTACTTAATTACACTTTCAATAGTTATTATCGAACTTTAATACTGCTTAGTCTTTGCACCAGAATTGCTAATCGAATTTTAATATAACCTTGCTTTTTACCCAATATTGCTTATCGAATTCTAATATTGCTGAGTTTTCTAATCAATCCCTTTTGATTGGATTTTAATGTTTGATTGGCTTTTTATATTGCATAAGTCTCAATTTAAGATATGTATAAAATGGTTAATTTAAATGCAATCAAGGTTTCAGCTAACGATTATGTAAGCACAAAATCCTAAAAAATTGTTAAAAAATTAAAATGTATACATAATTTTTAAGTTAATACATTTAAAATATTTGAATAAATGTATTCTAGGCACATATCCTAAAATGTACAATCTCATCAAAAATATAGAATGTAATATTTAACATAAATATTGAAGAAAATTGTCATTTAAACTTATGGGAAAAATAGAAAATACTTAAATCATAAAATTGTTATAATTCTCCTTTTTTTATATTGATCAAGTGAAAATAATCAAAATCATGTTTATTTTAAGTATACAATATTTCGTTGATAATTTATCAGGATGCGTTGCATTTTCATTAAAATTTCTTTTATTTCAATAAAATTAACGTTTTCAAATTCAATAATGTGGCACTCCTTTTAAATAATATATTTTTAATCAATTTCTTTTATAATCCAGGAGAGCTATTAGATAACAGAAACTTTTCGTTTCTAAATTAAAATGTTTTATGTTATGAACTCACAAGATCTTAATTACATTTAAATCTCCCCCCCCCTCCCAATTTAGATATGCAAATTAACACCTTATGCAGCATTTTGTTAAATTTAACGATTAATGGGCATAACTCATGTGACGTCATAGTCACATAATAACTACCATCAAGTGTTTCCAGCCAATCACTTAATCAAATCATGTGACGTCATAATCACATATATGCAATCACGCGTTTGCAGTTAAGCTCACATGCGCAAAAATACACACATTTCGCTGTTGCCAAATTTTGCCGAAACTTTCTTTTAAAAAGCACATACGTGTCAACAACAGTAATGCACAAAAGTAAATAAAATGTACTCAGTGACGCACAAAAGGGGGGGGGTCGGGGCGCGGGTGCAAACCCCTTCCCCAACCCAATTTTTTTCGTTGATTATATTTTTATATAGTACGAAAATTAATCAAAAAATGATAATAACAGAATTATCCATTCAGTAATTTATTTTTTATTGTCGAAGATGGACAAAATCAAAAGAATATGTTTGGTAGCGTATTCGGGTATGATAGGAAAAAAGTGGACTTTTGACCTTGGGCTTCCCACCCCTTGAAAAATGTATGTGTTCACCACTGAATGTACCTTATTTTTTAAAGTACACGTAAAATATAACCTTTTTTTTTTTTAATTTTGAAAAATTTTTGAAGAATATTACTAATTGAACATTTTACCAACTAAGAAATTTAAATTTTTCTCTAATTTTTCCAGGAACAACAAGTACAAGTTTAATATCAGTTTTGAACTCGATGGAGAACACGTGATCATAATGAATTTAACCCCTTAAATAATTACCTTTATTTGATTATAAAATGTTTTACTTTATTCCCCATTAAAGTAAGTATAATTCGTAAAATAGAAACAAATAGTTTTTAGTAAGCAAAGAAATTTCAAGCTGAATTTGATCCTTTTGCCATCCCAAATACTTTTTAAATCTTATTTTATTCTATTTCAAAAATGTTCTTTATTTTTCATGTAATTTGAATAATTTCAAAATAATTCTAACCTCATTAGTTTCCCATTGCATTTGTCAATAAACAGCCAATTTCTTTAACATCAAAAAATGGTAGATCTATATTTGTTATTCGAACACACGTAATAGGTAAAGCTAATTATATATATATATATAGGTTTTATCTCATCTATTTTTTGCATCGCTTTTAACATATACTAGTATTTAATAGTAGGCTATAATTTTATCATTTAATGTTAATAGATTTTGTTTTTATCTGTAATAGTTAAATTTCTCTTGATATTCCTTACTTTCCCTATGGCCCAGTGTATTGGCAAATACAGGTGAAGGTTGGCTGGCCTCACAACTATGTTTAAGGTATCCGAACACGTTGAAAATGACCAAATTCAGTCAAGACAGATATTTTGTTTTTTATTTTATTGAATAGAGCTATCTTTTGACTTTACGAAATATACTTTATTTTGTTTCTACACTACCTAGAGGCCAAGTTACAATCAATTTTATAAAGTTAGAAAAACCGGAAGTTGGTCTTCGATCTACCAGAAGTGGGCATTGAAATTGCTCAAAATCTATCATGTCGAGTCTGATAAATCAAAATATTATGAATGTATTTCTATAAAATTTTGTAAACCTGATATTTACGTTATTTTCTAGAGAATGTACTAAAATATTTTTTTATTGTATGAATACTTTTTGAGTTATGGCTTGTTATTTAAATAATGGTCTCATAAAAAATGTAATATATCTTATAATGTTTACTCAATCAGCTCTAAAATTTTCAAATTTTAGTAAAAAATTAAAATTTTAGTACATATTCTAGATAAATGCATCTAGTTTGTTTTCGTAATACTTTTACTAATATATATTTATTACTTTTTTCTCTAACTGCTTTGAAGTTTTTCAAAAATATTGCTAAAATTTCACATATAATTGTAATTTTTGTAAAATTCAGGTTATTTATTTTAAATTTTGATAGTTTAATATATAGTAATATTTATTGGTATTGAGTCCTAAAAGAGCATTTATAATGTTTTAGTATGCTATTTTGTTAAAAAGTACTCCGAACGTGTCCGGATACCTTAAACCGGCAATCTTGGTTCCTAAGGGCAGGAGTTTGCTATAGTACTACTGTGGCTAATATACTTTTTACTACCTTGACTAGTTATCTTAGGTTTTATAACTATTTTGTATATATTTATGGATTATATATTTATGAATTTTATGTATATATATATGCCTTCGAAATGAACAAATCTAAATTTCCTTTTGTATTTTTGAGTTCGTTAATGCATAAAAATATATTAAAATTCAATAACTGAATAGTGGTTAAAAATTATTTTTTTTTATAAATATAAAAATCAAAAAATATTCAAATTCATCCCTTTAAAATTAATTTGTTTCTTATTCTAATTTTTTTTTAAAAAACAATAGTAAGAATTAATTTTCTTTATTTAGTGTTTGTTCAATCCAATTTTATATTTTGTGCATGATGCTCTTACTTTTTACTTTATTACATTTTGTGCAGAAAAAAATACACTTTAGTTTTTACAAGGATTGCACACAAGCTGTTCCTTATCTCGAGGTATATTGTTTATACCCGCATATTAATACCAAACTAATATTATTCCACCTCTATACTTATATTAAAATCCCCCTGGGGCATATTTAGAATCGCACGATACGTTCGTAATGCAAGAAAACTTTGTTTCAAATTTTGTTTTACAGTACATGCAGAATTAGTTGAAAAATTTATTTCGTAACTAATAAATTCTAAATTTTATAGTGTTAAAAATACATATGCAAATCTTTAACATTTCATTGCTTAATTGTATACATAATTCACTTCACTTTCCTCTTCATATTTAAGCCGCTAAATACGAAATTGTTTGAATCAAATACAAAAATTCAATTTATTAAAACTATTTGAGTTTTTTATGCGATTCTCATCTTGGCTACAGTAATTGATTTTATTTTAATCTATATAAATAATTGGGAAATAAATAATAAATGTTTAGCACGAAAGTATTTTTTAAGTCCATTTCTTAATTTCGATCAAAACCTTAACAGTAAAAATCCGTCTACTATATCGAAAGTATAAATGAAAACAAGTAATATAAAAAAAAAAGAATTTTAAATCAAATTCCTATTTAGATCAGCAAAACAAAAAAAAATTATTTTAGTTACGTTTTATTAAATAGTTACAGTTAGTATAAATATGTAAATACATAAGACACACACAGAATCGTAATATCAAGTGACAAAATAGAAAAGCGATTTTCTTTGCACACAAGTTTCCATTTCCTTTCTATATATGGCGTTGGATAATTTTCTTTTGTTCATTACTGTTTATCCATTATTAAATTTAATTATTCTTATAAAATAATATGATAAAAAAGAAATCACATTCTCAGAAATTAGGCCAAGTAAAGAGGGATTCGAACCCACGCCCTTTGGACTAGAAGTCCAACACGCTATCCATTACGCTACAGGTACACAACAAACAATTTTCCTTTCTATATATGCTGTTGGACTATTAGTTTTATGTGTCTGTTACTATTTTTTCATTTAATTTAATTAAAGGATTAAAATTTGAAAAAACTGTATTAACATCAAGTGTCATCCACTACAAGTTTTAAAAAATGTATTTGAACTTGAATGGATGAATAGAAAGTATTTTATTAAAGATTGAAAATTTGAACAAGATATATATAAATAAATATATATAGGGAAAGAGTGAACTAATAGGAGGAATTGAAAAAAAAATGTACTTTTAGAAATGCTTGATTGCTCTGACAATACGTGACAACTATTTTGTGTCAATGAACACTATACATTGCGGCTAATCCTTTAGATTTCATTTCATTCCTAGCCATTATTTTGTCTGATTAAAAAAAACTATCAGTCAGACAGGTTTCAAATATTACATCTTTCATGAGCGTCGAATTAAAAAAAAAATTACTATTTTGCGATATTTAGTTCGAAGGTATCAATTTAACCGAGAATTGTATGTTACAGTTCGGTGAATAACGGAATATTTAACCAAAAAACTGTGGTACTTTAAGACAATACATAAAGATTATTAAAAACTGTTAACTCTTATACGTACTTGCAATTTTTCCGTGGAGATTAAACAATAGAATATATATATTGAATTCCAGAAGTTCATCTTTGTTAAAAACATCAACATTTTACACGTTTTTTCGATGTAATATACAAATATTTTGATTAAATGGATTTACTAAAAATGCAATTACAATTAGAATTTTATAAAATTTGAGAATCTTATTGCATTTGTGCAAATAAAAATGTTATAATGTGATACGGGTTAAGTAATTTATTACAAGAATATAAAATGTAATCAAATACTTAGATATCTATTATATTCAAACGAACTTGACAGCATTTATATTGATGTGGTTTTAAATGGATGTCAATACACATTTAAAAACTATTAGCAACTAGATATCAATATTATATGTAAAAATTTATATTAGACTAGATAATTATGATTAATAATTATCTATTTATTATAATTTTGCTGAAATAATACGAACTTACTATTCTAGCATCTGTATCGTGATTCTCGAAAAACTTTCAATATATTTTAACAAAACAAAACTAGCGGAAAGATCATAGCTCACATTTGAATTTAAGGCATTCTATAATTCAGATCTATCCATTTTGCTCAATTCTAGAAAATCCAAATGCATTCGGAACTAATTATGAATTTTCTTTTCTATATTTTGCCAACCTTCTGACATAGAAATATTCATCATTCCATAATTCAAAATCAAAATATGAATTTATATCATGCACTTCATATAATCAAAGTAGCATTTTACTGCAAATATGAACGGAACAATAACGATGCCGACTCAAGAATCAAAAAGATATTTCCTACATTTATAAAAGTATCTGAATGTCAATATGCTTTATAAATCTAGTTTTTCATTCAAGCAATTTCGCTTTACATCATTACTCATAATTTCTTATTACAATTAGAATATTGATTTTTTTTTATTTTGGTATATATCACAAGTGCTATAAATAGAAATCTATACAATGTATTTTGTCAGACTCAAATTTACAGAATATGTAACACTTAATCTTATTGATACAATCAATATATTGCATCCTCTGAGCTATTCTGACGATAAAAACAATGCATGCAATTTATTTGCAAATTAACATTTGAACATTTTATTGCAATTTGTATTCATCGTACTTTCCGATATTCAACAAATTAATTATTTGATGTTTCAAAAACTATTTTGATGGTTTTATTTTAAATAAAGAACTTGCATAAAAAATGTATTCACGTCAATAGATAATTCTCTAGAAAAATCATTCATACAAATATTCCAAGTACCTAATGTATGTTACATATTTATCGAAAATATGTGATAAATTCGTATCAGAAAATGATAGTTTCCGAAAGGTCTCATTCACCGTTCTCCATCCCCATATTACGGAAGGGAGGGGGATTTATTTTTAATGAAAATGATTGAATCACATGAATACAGTTAAAATTTATGACATCTTTCAATGATTGGCGAGTAACACATGATGGTTATTTCAAATAAAATGATTAAGTTTTTTTACCAAACGAACATGACATATCCCCCCCCCCCATATATATTTCACCCCTTTCATTTTTTTTTAATCATGTATACAAGGGTTTCGGAATTAATAAATGCAAGAAAACACGGTTTTCAAAAATTTAAAATAAATGCATTTTCTAATTCCAGAAAGCGGTTTCGAACCTCAAGTCCTCCCCCTTCCAAAATCGAACACCGACCCCTTTTTACTCCTTCATTAGAATCTTTCCCCTCAAACGGATCACTGCCTGGGTATGACAGCAGTGTGCGCCTCCCACTTGATGCAGGATTCCCAAACGATATTTGAACTGGAGGGACGACAAAATTATCGGGAAGGGACTTACTCTCTGTTCCTGTGGTCATCGTGTGTACATCCAAACGAGATTTTCAGTGGAGGGGTTGGGCGCCGGCTACGAGGAGCGGTCGCATCGCGTCATGGCTGCTCCCGACTGAGCTGGGAAAGTGAACGAACGATGCGGCAACCCTGTGGAGAGGCGCCTAAGGAATCGCCAAAGAAAAACGCCAAGAACAGAGATACTGAACTGACAGGTGATGCTAGAGCGTACGTAAATGAAAAAAGTAACAGGGGAATTTATTATTATTTTTTAATAAGAATGGTTTAAAATATCCTTGAAATGTTTTTCTTACATGTTTTGTACTAACACAAAGAGTATAACTAAAAATTTGGTTTGTATTATTTATAATTAAGCATACACATGTTATATTTACTAGAGGGAGCACAAAGCTATTGGACATGAATCTTTTTAGATTTTAATCACATGTATTTGTTGGATGAGCATGATTTGTCTGGTAAATTTCTCTAAGATTCAACACTTGCACCACAGAAGATCCTATTTATTTTTTCATCATGTGTTTTTGTGCATTGAACATATTTGCTTATTCAAGATTTTAGGTCTGATGTAAAATTGCCTAATCACAAGCAATACTCGAGATTTTCAAGAACTCGTGATCGTCGTGTCATGAGTTCGAGCCTTGTCCCAACCGATGCACATTAAATCTAACGAGGCTCCAAAGTCCTCCCTTTGGCATGGTGGAGAAGTAAGGAGAGAGGACGCCAGCTTAGGTGCATTCTCGTCAATCGACTTTGTTTCAAAATTACGAAGATAGTCACCAAAAGCCCTCAAGTAGCTGAACAGTGCGATGTTAATATTCTTTCAATTCATTCAAGGGAGTGAGTGGTTTTAACATCGTAATATATAGCAACACGAGGGCTATTTTTAACGGACCTTGTAATTTTGAACCTCGATTACGGGACGAAGACGACACTTGGGCTGGCTTTCTACTCTCCTAATTTCCACACCCCACCAACGTGAGGACTGAGCCCCGACAACTTTAACGCACGTCAGCCCCTGCACATGGCGGGTCTTCAGTGACAGTAGGGTTCAAACTCGTGACATGCTTGCCGTGAGTCCGTGACTACGATTACGAGGCCGCGGTAGCCAAGTGGTCTAGGCATCGGATCGTAGCTAACATGTCATGAGTTCGATCCCAGTATCACTAAAGACCCACCTTGTAGGGGAGCGATGCACGTTAAATCTGTTGAGAGCTCAAACGTTCTCCCGTTGGTGAGGTATGGCAGTTAGGAGAGAGGGGTGCCAGCTCGGGTGTCATCCGCGGCACTTGACCATGGTTCAAAATTACGCGGACCGTCCCCCAAAGCCTTCGTGTAGCTGAACAGTGGGACGTTAATATTCACTCACGTGACCACGATTACTAAGTTAATGCGCCCGCTCCTCACGTATTGTGAAGTGTTTTGATTGCTTTATTCATATGACAAGATATAATGGTATAATTTTTTGCGTAAAATTACATCACATTGCGGAGTGGTTTTAAATAGACCATTGCATTGATTCAAGCATTACTTTCCTATTTTACATATGTAGATCATTTTTGTGTGTTTTCCAAGGACGCAATCCTTTTGAGGCTTCGCAGCAGTGAACCCTTGTGAATTCATATCACAATTCAAAGACCCAAGACTCAAAATTACAATGTACCTAGTTAAAATTGAACCTTATCCTCTCATCGTAATTAATATAAGAAATAAAAAATAGTTAGTTTTAAGTTGCATGAAAATTAATTCGCAATGAAAAATATTAAAGTGCGTAAAACATGCAATGAAACCACTAACTGATCTTCCATTGGGTGAGACTACATCTGAACAGTGGTTGGGAGTGTAACTAATTGGATAGAAAATTAACATAAGTGATGAGTTCCGCCTTTATGAGGGGAGTAAGTGAACGTTAACGTCACACTGTTCAGCTACTCGAGTTCTTTTGGCGACGGACCTCGTAATTTTGAACCATGGTCAAAAGACGAGGTTCAAAACTTGAACAAAATATATGACAGTTTTGCCTTGCCACTGTAATGTTAGCAAAAAGTGTCTGTGATTTGTGTCATTTATTAAAGTCACACACATTTGAAACTTCTTGTTTCAGTTTGAATGATATTTCCTCTCAAATAATCCAAGAAAAATTGAAAAGTCCTTAAAAGTAGATATATATACTTTCTCTTAGTTAAATTATTCACTGGGATTACGATTTTTATCGTGCACAATAAAAAAAA